TCATCCTCAGCAAAGTTCTCGGGTTCCAGCCTTTGCATATTCTCTCAGATTTTGTGTCCCTGGGCCATTGACTTGACAACTTTCAAGTTTTTATTTTTATTTTTTTCAATCCTCACGTGAGGATTTGTTTCACTGATTTTAGAGAAACACCGATCAGTTGCCTTCTGTATGCGCCCTGACAAGGGGATTGAACCCACCACCTAGGAATTGATCCTGCAACTTTTTGGGGGTGATGCTCCAACCAATTGAGCCACCTGGCCAGGGCTGAGGGCTCTTTTAATCTTCTAAGATTTGAACCAGGGAGATAATGAATCTAGGAGTGATGTAATAGTAGCATTCATAATAGTTGACATTTGCTGAAAACTTCGTGCTATGTCAGATATTTGTTGTATATCTTATTTAATGCCCCCAACAACCCCACAAGTCTTTATTATTATTCATATTTACAGTTGATGAATCAAACTTATCAAGAGGGATTAAGTTATTCAGCATCCAAGTCACTCAGATCCTTTCCCTGAATTGAGGGGCCTCTCTATCTAGCTGGCTTCCTAAGAGAGGCATCAGGGGAAGGTACAGACAGCTACTGCCTGTGGGGTTATCAGTTCCCCTCAGAAACCACTCAGGCTCCTCTGCTTGGCCCTCTTGAAGGAGACTTGGCTCAGAGGTGGCCATCTGGCATCCGCTCCTGCAGCTTTTGTGAAGTCACATGTGATCCCGGAGTTGCCAGGAAAAAGGATGCCTTGATGAGCCAAAATGCAAATTCCTTGGGAGAGGAAAAGTGAAAGTGAGCTTGTTCACACCGTGCATGACTCCAAGGAAATGACACAACCCGAGAGACACAGTGTCCTGCCATGAGGCTCCATCCTATTACAGAGACATTCCTTTGCATTTGATCAAAAGCTTGCCTCCCAAGGAACGGCTTTGCTTCTTTGACCAGTAGGAGAGGCAGAAGTGGCCCAAATTAAAAAGAAGTTGATATTGAAATACCAAAGTGGGGTGCCTCCAGAGATTTTTAAATGCCATTCTTTGGAAAACTGGGACAGGTGGGGGTGGGGAGCACAATTTCCTCACCAGTCCCCAGAGTTCCCATTGTCCTGGAGATGAATTATTTCCGGGTCCAGGCCAGGAGAAGAGAGTTTAAGTATCCTCATCTAGTTTGTTCGCATCTCAAAGGATTTCTGGGGCCTTCACTGGAGTTTCTTTGGCTACTTGTTTTTCCTCTTTTTTTCTCTACCTTCCTCCTTTCTCTCTACTTCTTCTTTTCTTTCTCTCTCCTGGTCTTGCCTTCTCCACAATGCCTGTCCCACTGGCCAGCCCATCAGCTCTCAGAGGCTTACTTGCTGGCCCCAACTGCATAAGGCTCATTCTGCTCCAGCCAAGCCTCAGGGCTAGGTTACCTGGGCTTTGAATTCTCTTTTCATCAATACCTAGTAAATTCTTGCTTTTTTTTTTTTTTTCTCCCCCCAGACTTTTCTAAGTTATATTTCCAATGAAAGCCTGGGGTCTATGGAATCTGTGACTGCTGGCATCTTAGACCAGCACAATTGATGATTGATGCCACTGATTATAGAATGTTGTGTGTGTGTGTGTGTGGGGGGGGGTGGTGGTGTCTGAGAGGCATTTCAAGACAGATATATATATATATATATATATATATATATATATATATATATATATATATATATATTGATATATATATCAATAATATATGATATATAGATATATATATATCATATATTATTGATTTTAGAGAGAAAGGGACAGGGAGACAGAAACATCAGTGATGAGAGAGTATCATTGATTAGCTGCCTCCTGCACACCCCACATTGGGGATTGAGCCTGCAACCCAGGCATGTGCCCTGACCTGGAATCGAACCATGAACTCCTGGTTCATAGGTAGATGCTCAACCACTGAGCCATTTAGAACTGGCTGGATTTTGTTTTAAAGACTACTTAAAAGTTCTTTAGAAAAAAATCATTAAATGTTAGATCCAAAAGTTTGAAATTTCTGAATGAAGTCTTCATGATCTGCTGCAGGCCATATTGGGATGCTTAAAGTGAAGGTGCTTAAAGTGAGAAGCCCTGTTAAATTCAAGCCACGTCAGCTGCCAATCCTCAGACCAGAGGAGGTAGGGTGCGGCTTCCCATCAGAGTCAGAGGAGGAAACTGACTCACCTGCTTACCCCAACCACAGGGGTACCAAGTCAAGTACCTGAAGTTCACATGGGCTTCTACTGAAGAAGGTGGCCCAAGATGGAGACGGAATCTTGTCTCGGAGCTGTGCTGATGATCGCTCCTTCCAAAAGGAAGTCATACCCGCCCCCCCAATATACATACCCCTGTTCCGAATGGAGTCCCAATTCTGGAACCTTCCTATCTGGGTTTCTTAGAGTATATAGTTCAGTGGTTCCAATATCACCTTATAGAGCTTGTTAAAACAGATTACTGGGCCCCGTCCCAGGGTTCATGGTATTGTAGGTCTAGACTCTAGAATAAGGTCTAAGACTTCCTGTTTCCAACAAGTTCCCATGTGAGCTGCTGACCACACTTTCAGAACCTCTGGTGCAGTTAATATACAGGCTCTGGAATCAGATTTCCTGGGTTCAAAGGCTTGTCCCATCCCTCATGCCCAGAGCTCTTAAACAAGTTAGCCTCTCCATTGCCTCAGCTTCCTCATCTGAATAAAAAGAACATGATTGGAATTGCCCTGCTTCATGATGTTGTTGTTGTTATTTGTTTTTGTTTTTTAAGTATATTTTATTGATTTTTACAGAGAAGAAGGGAGAGGGATAGAGAGTTAGAAACATGGATCAGCTGCCTCCTGCACACCTCCTATTAGGGATGTACCCACAACCAAGTACATGGATGTACATGCCCCTGACCGGAATCGAACCTGGGACCCTTCAGTCCACAGGCTGACGCTCTATCCACTGAGCCAAACTGATTTCAGCCATGATGTTGTTTTGAGAAGCAGATGGGATAATGCATGGAAAGCTCAATTTGGTACATGCCCGGGCTTGATAATTTCAGGTGTTGTCAATATTATTTCTCACAACACATCAATGTTACTCTCCACCCGATACCTTCCCAATCCATCTGTCCATGCAAAGACCCTCAGGTGTCACAGGTGCTGCAGGCAGTCTTTGGGCTTAAGCTTAGGGGTCCTGAAGGCACTTTAGCTCACAATACACAGTTGAGTCTTTCTCAAAATCATGTGTTCAGTTCCTGTCTTTACTGCCAGGAATCCATGGGGCTTCAGCCTAGTTGCTGATCTGAACATTTTTACCAACATCCTAGTGTTCTCTTTTGCTCCCTGACTCAGAACAGAAAGGCACAACCGGAAGAATCCTACCTGTCCTTCCAAGCACTAAATTGTATCCTGGCTGAATTTGGCTGCATGAATTTCCACTCCCCAACCAACCTAGGTTTCCAGAGCCACTGTGGCTTCTAGAGATTTTGTATTATGTCCTCTGTTCTCCCTTATCATTTAAAAAAATTAAATTAAAAAAACGAATTGAGGATAATTCAGAGGAGTTCAATTGCTAGACTTGCTTTTTGTTTTTATTATCAACAATCAAGTTAATGGTACACTCTTGGAAAACTATATGCACATGTAGAAATATTTCCCTTTTAAATAGAAGCATTCATTATAACACATATAAATAAATCTGAAAATCTGAAACATAACTTATGACGCTTATGTTCACAAACAAGGTCCAACAAGAAGGGAAAAAAAAATCAGACAGACATGCACCTGATAACAAAAATATATACCATTGTCTGAACCGTGGTCTCTACATACAAAGGAATTGAACCCGTGAGAACCTTAGTACTCCGTAAAGACACGCCATAGAGACTACAAGAAGAGAGGAAAAACATTATACGGTCACATAGAGGAGACGGTCTGTACTGATATTAACACGATACAATTTGAGTCACAGAACACAGTTGTAGAAAGACACCCAAAAAGTTAAAGCCTCAACATTCAACTAATTATCTAGTAGTTTGTGCCTTTTAAAATAAAAACAAAAACAAAAACAAAAAAAGAGAAACCTCAACAGAGATGTCTAAACTGCGAGAAGAATGGAATCATCAATATACAGTTCATCCACCATCCAGGATGGGAGTCCATTTCGGATCAGACAGAAGTGCACACCGAGACACTTCTGCAAACTCGTGTGCGCGCCTTTCCCTCGCTAGGGTAGAGATTTCTCTGTAGCCGGTTTGCAACGGACTGCAATTGACTCCAATCCGAAGCAGTGCCGAGAAGTTCAGTAAAAGCTGGTGGAAGAAGGAAATGCCGGTGGGGGTGGCAGGAGGGAGAGAAAACTGGGGAAGCGTTTTTTGAAACAGGAGACACAGTTTTTGCAGTTTGCAGATGAAAAGGCATCTCACGTACAGGGCAGATTCGGGGTTTGGGAGTTGCAACTGTGTGGGAGCTCAGAAGCGCTCATGGCATGGCGGGGCGGTACTCGGCCAGGTGGGACAGGCAGGCGGGCTGGAGGAAGTCACCTTGGCCTCGGTGGCAATCTGCGGGAGTCTTCACAGGAACCCGAGGGCAAGAGGGGAAGCGGACTGGAAGGCTCCCTAGTCTCCCCTAAGGAGGAGGAACCCCAATGGGAAGTCTGTGCCATCCGGAGGGAGCCCATTTAGGGTTCACAAGACAGAGCCTTCAGACAGTGCTTGCTGCAGCCTCCCTTCTTTCCCCCTTTACATGTTTCCCCTTAGATTTCAAAATCTTTAAAACAACAAACAAAAAAGATTGCTGCCTTCCTAATTTTTTTTAATATGGTTTTTTGTTGTTGTTTTGTTTTGTTTATTTTTCTCTTTATTCTAAGCAAGTCACTGCGTTGGTTATGCCCCCATCCATCTCTTTCTGTCACCTGCCCGGGCCACAGAGACACATTCCCGGAGATAGACACACAGGACACGCAGACACAGCCCCCTGAGAGTGGCCCCAGCCCAGGCCGCACCGCTCCCGCCTCCAGTCCACAGGCAGGTGCGAGGCCAGAAAGTGTTTTTGCTTTTTTCGTTTCGTTTTGTTTTGTTTTGTTTTGTTTTGTTTCGTTGGGGGTTCAGGGTTGGGGTCAGAGTGGGGTTGCAATGGGGGCGACGCTGTTTTCTCTTTATTCTTATCGCGATCGCTTTAGGATTTCCGTGAAAAAGCCAGGGCAGCAGCGGCGACCATGGCCTTGGGCTTCCCCGCTGGCCCGCCCGCCCGTTCGACCGCCCGCCCGGCCCCCCGCCCGCCCGCCGCCGCCGCCACCGGGCCGCCCAGATCAGAACATGCTGCTCTTCACCAAGGCGGCTTTGGCCCCGTTGGGTCTTTGAAGCGAAGACAGGACGCTGGCGAAGGGCCCCCCGAGCGAATCCGGGATGGAGGTGATGGGGCCGGGCCCGGGAGCCCAGCCTTGTCCGGGGCCCCCGGCCGCAGCCAGGCCCCCGGCCGCCGCCGCCGCTGCCGCCGCCGCCGCCGCCGCTGCTGCCGCCGCCGCCGCCGCCGCGGGGCCGGCCTTGCCGGGTTCGCCTCCCGGGCCCCCCGGGCCCGCCGCCCCCGGGCCGCCCGCCGGGCTGGGCCCGCCGCCGCCGCCGCCGCTCGCCCCGCAGCTGGGCGCGGGGTTGGGGTTGGGGCCCGGGCCGCCGGTGCTGTCCGGGTCGGTGCTCTTGGCCTCCTTGCTCTCGTCGTCCCGGGCGGAGTCGGACTTCTTCCCCGACGAGCCGTTCTTGGCCGCGGCCGCCGCCGCCGCCGCCGCGCGCTCCTGCTTGCGGAACTTGGCGCGGCGGTTCTGGAACCACACCTGCCCGGGAGGACGGGGAGCGGAGAAGCGGGGGAGAGAGGAACCGGCGGGGAGGAAAAGCACCAGTTAGGAGGGTTCACAGCCCATTCTCATTTTAGTTCGTTTTCAATCAACTCCGCGCCCCCGGGGACCCCCATGCGCACCCCCTGCTCCCACCCCCTCGTTGCTGGTTCATCTTCCAAGAAATGTTCTCAGGGTGACTTGAACATGCCAAGGAATCCTTTACATACAGAAGATAAAATAAATTTTAAAAAAAAGGCGGGTCCCAGAGAGGCCCTAAAATAAAAACCCTTCTTTCGCCAAAACCGGTTTGGCTCAGTGGATAGAGCATCGGCTGGCGGACTGAAGGGTTCCGGGTTCGATTCCGGCCAGGGGCATGTACCTTGGTTGTGGGCACATCCCCAGTGGGGGGTGTGCAGGAGGCACCTGATAGATGTTTCTCTCTCATGGATGTTTCTAACTCTCTCTTCCTCTCTGTAAAAAATCAGTTAAATATATATATATTTAAAAAAAAAAACAATTTGTGGGATCTTTGTTCAGTCTTATTTCTTGAGTTACTCCAAACTCGCCATCGGCCCTAGGCCTCAAATCTAAGTGAAATAAACCCTAATAAGTCTAAGTGAAATAAACCCTAATGGAAGGAAGGAGAAGCGGTCTCTGGGCTGGGCGCTCGCCTTGCATCCTGACCCTGATGCCTGGAGAAGCGGCACAGGTGCGCCCTGCCCCCTCCACTGGCGGGCCCCCTGCAGAGAGAGAGCCCTGGCCTGAAAGGTCAGAGTCAGCCTCGGCTCTTGACCTTCCCGGGGTCGAAGCCCCTTTGCGAACTTGATGCAAGTCCTAGTTCCCTGGGAAAACGCACCCATACGCGACAGCTCCAAGTTAAAAGCGCGTGGATTAGGAGGCAGTTAGCAAACAGGTCTATTTATATGTTTATAATATGCAGGCAGAGTCTGCACTCTCCCCAAAGGGCGCTTGGATGCCTCCGCAGCGCTTGGCTGGGGTGGGAAACACTTTGCAACTGTGTATACATGTGTAGCCTAGAGCGTGCGCCCGACCCCAAAGACCGCTTCTCCTTCCATCCATTAGGGTTTATTTGCGCCCAGCCCTCCAAACCTGGCCTCTCTGTTCAGCCCTGAGCCACGGGGCCCTGGGCTTCCGAACCTTCGGTAGCACCACCCGCTCCCTCGCCCACAGCAATCCCCGGACGCCCCAGCCGGGTAATATTCGGGGGTTGCGTACCTGGACCCGCGCCTCCGTGAGGTCGATCTTCAGGGCCAGCTCCTCGCGGGTGTAGATGTCGGGGTAGTGCGTCTCGGCGAAGACCCTCTCCAGCTCCTTGAGCTGCGCGCTCGTGAACGTGGTGCGGATGCGCCGCTGCTTGCGCTTCTCGTTGAGGCCGCCGTGGTCGGTGAAGAGTTTGTAAGGAACTGGAGACAAGAGAGAGGACAGGGCGTGGGCAAAACGGGCTTGGCCTTGGAGCCGGAATGTGGGGACTTCCAGGACAGGTGTTCCGGGGCCGCCACCGACAAACAGAGAGAGAGGGTGGCCGAGAAGAGGAGCTGCAGGTAAAGATCCGTTACACACAGAAACTAGCGCAAACTTCGGGGTTTGGTGAGGTTCCTCCTGGCACAAGCGCCTCTGGGTGGGTTAACAGATACCATCAGAGACCCCTGAGAGCCAGGGCGGGAGAATGCTTTGGTGAGGGGAAGGAACGAGAGAAGGGGGGAAAAAAAAAGTCCAAAAACTTCCGCGGGAATATATCAAGGAGCCAGGGAAGATGTTACCAAACACTCTCACGGTTGGAACTTTTCAGTTCTCAGGAGTTGCCCCAGCCCCCCAAAAGTTGAGGGGAAACGTGCTGCAAAATAACAATCATAAATAAATTTTTTTTAAAAAATTTTAAAAAGCAATCCTCCAAATGACCAGCCAAAGAGGTGTGAGCCCGCTGCCGGTTCTTTAAAAAAAAGAGAGAGAGAGAGAGAGAGACACTGCCAGTAATGAGCTTTACTCTTTGTTATTTAATTATTTTCTAAGCTTTACGTCTCATCGCAAAGTAAATAAATTATGCCTATCATTTTGGCAGCTTAAGATAATTTTGTTGGCGGTTCGGGTGTGACTAGGATAGTGTAACCCTGTAAGTGAATTACCCCCTCCCTGCAATCGCTTCTAACGTGATAAATTCTTTCATTTGTGTAAGCAAATTTCGTTTGGTAAATACTAAACACATTTCCATTTTCAAATGCAATCAAGGCTTCCTATATACGAGCGGAAAGGCGGCTTCCTCAGCCCGAGGAAGCCCGCGGTCCTTACCTGCGGCGTACGGACTGCTCTGGTGGTCCCTGAGGGTGCCGAGGCTGCAGGATCCCGGCGTGAGGGACGGGCAGCCGGACGTGGCCCCAAAAGTGGTCCTGATCGGGTTATACTGGAAGCCACTGGCCTGGCTGCAGGAACTGAAGTCTGCATAGGCTGAAGCCAGGCTGGAGGTGTCCATGCCAGCCATACAGGACTCGTAGGCAGAGGAATTGAGGTAAGAATATTCCATTTTATACATTGAAAAGGCTCTGGATGGCTCAGCCAAGTGGAAAAAAACGAAATAAAAAGATGGGTCTGGAGGAGGTGGCTGGAGTGGGGAGATGTGCACAGCTCAACGCCTGCCTCCAAACTGGCCTCCTTACTACCAGCAGAGCCTAGTTTTATGAAAAAGCCTCCTGTGAGATGCCTTGTCTGAGGTCTCTAGAGCATATAGTCCTCATAATAAACTTGGCTCTTTCCACTTGGACAATAGCAAAGCGGTTGGTCTTATTGCTGGCGCTTTTTACATGACAATAACTCATCCGTCTATTGGGCTGGCACTGGGGAACTGAGCTGTCCAACCTCCCTATCATTGATTCCTGCATCTCTAATTAGAATTTAATACCACACCATTACGCACCAAGCCCCTGATCCTCCCTTCTAACCAGCTCCCTGCCCTTTAATTCAATCACGCTACTTGGAAATAATGAAAGTTGGGTGACGATTCTCCCTGATCCAATTTCCCCGAGCTTTTAAGCCTTTTTAACTGATCATATACCTTAGGCATAGAGGGAGATGGTGTGTGTGTGTTTTCCCCCTTCTTCGTCCTCTTCCCCCCCCCCCCTCGGTTAGGAAAAAGAAACCTTGATGTCATAGAAAACCTGTTTTGTAAGAGCGTTACACGCTCAATTTAACAACAAGCCTACCCCCCGAAGTGCATGAAATGGTATAAAGGACTGGGACATTGGCGAGACTCAGGCGCCCTGTAACGTGGAGTAAGTGAGCCGAGGGGGTTTATGTGGACGATAAGCTGATTTCTTTAAGATACACCTGGTAGAGGGGGCTTTATAAAAAAGAGAGAGCATCTTATAAATCGCATTTCTTGTTGTAACTTCATGTGCTTTTCTGGAGACGCAGCTCACTCAGTGGTTTAAGAAAATAAAAGGAACAATGCTCTTGAATGTGCACCGTCCGAATTCTCAAGCGAAGGCTTGTTGGCTCTCAGTTCTGTCTTTCCACCTTAGCGTGAGGTTAGCGGTTTTGTTGTTGTTGGTTTGGGGGTTCCTAGCGGTCGTTCTTTTTAATTACGCCCCAACTAGCAAGTGAACTTGCAAATATCCCCAAACGTGTCTCTCCCACCCTTTTAGGATGCTCTCCCTCTTTTTCCCCCACCTCCCCTGCTTTAGGTGCCTGCAGAGCCCCACCACCACCACACCACCACACCCCTTTTAGGGTCCCTGAAGGCAATGAGAGAACCCTTACTCTTTGAATGCCCAGGTTCTAGGTGGGGCGTTTTTTCTTGTCCAATTCCTCCGGCTCTTGGGGTGCAGGCGGGGCGGGGAAGGCACACAGACAAAGAAGCACACACGGTGATGTGTGGACCTCGGTGGCCCCCATGATTTAAGCGGAGGGTAATTTTCATTTGGTTTGTTAAGGCTCCAGCAGAATAAAGGGAAACTATTTTATTAAATCCTTCCTCTCTCGGTGGACAAGAGGGGGGGAATGGCTTAGCGGAATCGCCTCCGTGGTGCGGTGTAAACAAACCCTGGATATTTTATATGAATTAAATGTGCAGATAATTAGTTTTATTGCATTCATTACCCCCTTTATGGGCTCTGTAACAAGTCAGTAATTAAAGTAACAAACTCATAAAGTCTTTACAGGGGCATTTAGGCTGTTCCGTGGTTGCCAAACTAAGTGGTTTAATTCGATGCTAGCGCCGGGGAGTGGACGGGCGGCCGGCTCTCCGCTGCCACCGTGCTTTATTGCGCGCTAAACTGCAGCGGACGCCCATCGTAATGGATGAAGCCGAGGCACCCGGCCCCCCCAAACCCCGCGCTGCTCCGCTTGGTGAGTCTCAGGCTGGCTTCAGGGGACAAGGCGTCACCCCTGGACGTGAGGAAGCCCTGCTGGCTCGGAGTGCAGGCGGCGGCAGCAGCCGAGGAACCTGCTGATCGTTTTATGGGGAGGGCTGATAGTTTTATGGCAGTTGCATGTTGTACAATGCGTATTTGATAAAGAAGGGCCCTTGGTGACCAGTGTGCACTTTTTTTTTGAAATGAAAATGAATGCACACACAAGGTTTTACGGCGGCGGCGGCGGGAAACAAATTGCAACGTTCTAAATGGTTTTTCTTTATGGGCACCAGACAAGAGGAGAAAAGAGATGCAAACATCTGTCTTCAGTGGTCTCCTAAAACCGAGAGGCCAGCGCAAAGACGGATGCGAATCCAAGTGGTGTACAGTGGGGATCTGTCTTTCTTTATCGCGCTCATGAATATGAAGCTGCTTTGGGGCCGGGTGGTGGCCGGGCCCCTGAGGAAGCTGCTCCGCCCGGAATTTCCCCGCCAGGACCTGTCCTGCCCCCGCCGTCGGGGAGGGGGCGCAGGTTGTCCAGCACAGGGCTGAGATGGAGATCATCCAAGTTTTTTGGAATTCCCTCGGACTTGTGGGTGGCGTGTGCTTTCCAGTCTGTCCCATGCGACCCTGCCGGCCCCCCAGGTCTGACCTGGAGGATGTGGATTTGGGGACCGGGCCCCGAATGGGAACCCCCTAGGCCGTTCAACTCCCCCACCCCGTTTCTGTGGTCATCAAGCGCTTTTCTCTGTAGAATAGGAGAGAATAGGATAGAATGGGTGTCTGGGAGGGAATGTGGTTTTTGGCTTCAAGGTCGGTGCTTGGCAAGAACCAGGCCCACACCCCTAATGGCACCCACTTCTGGGCGCACCCTGACAGGTGTCTCCGAGCGCCCTCAGCTCAGGACGCTGCATCCCCTCCCCCTCCCCCCTCCCGCCCCGCGCCTCAGGGGTCCTACCCCCTAGAGCCAGGGGCCAGGCGGGTCCACCTGGGGCACCCTGAAGCCACTGAGGGGGAGGGCCTGGAGCCGGGGTGTGTGGGCGCCTGGAGAAGCCAGGTTTAGTTGGGCAGCTTTGGATGTTGTTAAACTTTGGGATTTAGTCCGTGCCAGTGCTGTCCTGGCGTTTGAAATTGGCACCAGAAGAAGCCTGCAAGGTGGTGATGGGGGAGGGGAGAGGATTGTGCCACAGGGTCAGGACAGGGATGGAGGTAAGGGGAGCTAGGGGGAGAGGGTAAGGGTAAGGGAGGCATAAGCGGGGTGGGGTGGGGAAAGGTGCCAGGGAGAGTGGGCGAGGGGCAGGCAGGGCCGAGGCCTGTACTGGGCACCACCTCGTGCTCCCTGCAGCACCTCGCTCACCCACCTGGGTTTCCTCTCCCCTCCTTGCACTCGGGGCTCCCACCGCTAGATTCCCCGCCTCCTGGGACCCGGTGCCAGCCCTCTCCCAGATGCTGGTAGCGCCCTGGTCTCTCCCTGGCGCCCCCTGGTGCCCGGCCCCGCTGATCCGGCGCCTTCTTCTCTTTGTACCAGGAGACCTCGCAGCTCTGGGACCATGGTCGGATGAGCAAAGGCGCTTGACTTCATTTTCCCTCCTCTCCCCCATCCCCTCCCCCTTTGTGGGCCTTGTAGGTTTATTTTGTTCGGTGTCACCGTCCCTCTCCCCAGTCCCAGCCCCCCACCCCCACCGTCCCTGGCCTCGTTGTGGCCCGTCTTTTGTGGCCCGGGGTCTTGCTTCTGCTCCGGAGATGAAAGGCCTGTGGGGCCGGGCCAGAGCCCAGCCCCGGCGCCCTGTTTTGTTCGGGTTGTGCTTTCTACACGCGAGCTCTCCCCTAAAAGTTGTACCAAATGGTTAATTTAATTATTCCAACTATAGACCAACTGCTTCAGCAGCCTCCACCACGCGTCTGGGAGGAAAAAAGAAGCCATCTATAAGAAATAATCTAATAAAAGTGAAGTGTAGAAAAACCCCTCCTGATTTTCAACCGGCACAAATAGAATTAGAGTCTCAGCATCCTTTTCCCAAACAGACCTTTTGTCCAGATCACAACTTCAGCCAACCAGCAGTGTGTGCGGGGCCCGCTATTTATTTTAATAGAGGCGGGTGGGAAGGGGAGATGGATTGATAGATAAATGACCACATGGATAGATGGATGGTTGATCCATCTTCCTCTGGCTTTCCTTTCTTAATATGTGTACACGGTTGATTTTTTTTTTTCCCCTGCTGGTTTTCTGAATCAATAATGGAAAGGCAATGTTATGTGGTAAAAGGGGGAGAAAAAGAGGTCATTTAAAGCACAAAAGAGGGAAGAGACTACCAGCATATATACCATGAGAAAGAAAGAAAAAAATGTTTACATGCTACCCAGTTCCAAGTGAAAAAGGTTGAAAGTTTAAAAGAAACTTTTCTTTCCTTTTCTTGCCATTCATAAAAGGGTTTCTTTTTCTTCTTCTTCTTTTTTTCCTTGAAAGTCAGAAAGAATGTTAGAAGACAAGGAAACAAAACAGCAAACAAAATGCCATTGTATTGTAGTAGCGATTCATGGGAAAATGCTTGTCAGCCTCCTAATGCCTCACTCCTAGGAGGCTGTTTTGAGGCTGTTTCACCGCAGGCGAAGCACAATAACATGGGGATGAATAAAATATTAAATACCAGTGAGACTTTCAGAGGAATTTTCTTTTTGATTGCTTTATTTGAGGCTGCATCCAAATTATTCCGGCTCAGCACGGCCACTGCCTGGCAAAGACTCTCTCATAACCAAGAGTTCTCTCACCCGCAGAATTAAAAGGCAAGATTTGTCCTCCAGGGTCCTCAAAAAAAAAAAGTTTCTGCAGGCAGCAGCCATTCCCACTCACCTGCACTAAGAAAATAGCCTAGACTAAATGTATTGGGATGCCATTTCCCCAGAACATAAGCATGCCCTAGCATGAAGATCCACCAATGCAGGCATTCTCCTAGCATTTTAGAACTTTCCCGTCTTCCATTTGCCTAGCAACCATCATACACGTTTCATAATAGAGACTCTTTGTATTTCTGGTAACTAACCTTCTGGCACTGCGAGACTAGCAATGATTAACTGGTGGACAATAGTGTATACAAAGCAATGAACACAGTGCTTGGCACTTGGGAAGAATTCAGTCCATATTCGACACCAGTGGTATGATCATGCTGCTGCTGGTGGTGGTAGTGGTAGAGTATTTTTGAATTACATATTAAATACTTGACTCTGAAATTTAGACAGTGCGTGAACACTCTCTTTCCTATTGATTGTTTATAATGCCTGTGGAAGAGGGTAGACCAATTAAAGAATGGGCTCTAAGATATCAAATGGGCTCTAAGATATCAAATGGGAGAAAATGAAGCAACCAGGCAGGAAACTTGTATCTCCTAGTTTATCTCTACTCCCCTCATTCTCTCTCCCTGCCAGTGCTATGATTAGCAGAAGGGGCTGCCTGCTACCTTTTTTGCAGGAGTTTGGCTAATAGTAGTAACATCTGCTGG